GTGTCGGTTGGCCATCTGGATGTCTTCTTTGCAGAAGTGTCTATCATATTGTTAGCCCATTTCTTTACTGGATTATTTGCTTTTTGGGTGTTGAGTTTGATAAGTTCTTTATAGATTTTGGATACTAACCCTTTATCTGATATGTCATTTGCAAATATCTTCTCCCATTCCTTCAGTTGCCTTTTAGTTTTGCTGATTGTTTCCTTCACTGTGCAGAAGCTTTTTATTTTGATGAGTACTCTCAAGTACTTTTGAATGAATGAATGAATCAACACAAGGAGGAGAGACCAGATTTAACTGGCTAATTCCATGCCTCTTTTGTACACTAGATCTTCCTCTAATTGACAGCTTGATTCGTGTCTTACAAAACATGGAACATTGTCAGAAGAAGCCAGAGAACTCAGTAGACTCTAACACAGAAGAAACGAAAAAGTCTGATTTAACCCAAGATGATTTCCACTTGAAAATCTTAAAGGATATTTCATGTGAATTTCTTTCTAATATTTTTCAGGGTTTAACAAAGGTAGGAAAGAAATATTGATGGTGTCATCAGCAAAAGAAAGTGTGGGTTGCTTAATGCTTCAAACATTATTATTACTGTATTGTTTTTTTAATATAAAATTATAATTATGTTATATAAATTTGGGAAAATAGAGAAAAAAACTTATCAGTGTAAGCTTATAACCCAGGAACTGATGTAGTTTGGTATATTTATATATGTGTTTTTCACATGCTTTTAACCCAGTATATAGAATTTTTATAGACTGCTGTTTACACCAAACATTATATTATGAGCTCTTTTCCAATTTTAGTATATATGCTGCTGAAGCAAGCACTGTGAGCCCTTTTCCAGACTCTAAATTTACTGACAGACATTTCACCAAAAGCCAGTTTATTTAATACCCAGTTTGCCAAAAAGCCAGTTTTCAAAATTTACTGCAAACTTGTTTTAAGGAGTATTCTTCCTGAATATGCTCAGGATTGTTAGCATATTATTCCTTTGGGCATACTTTCTTTCCATGTATTTTAGAAAAAATATAAATATAACCATTTAGAATATATTCATATTCATTGAATTTTTTTAAGAAGAATATTTCTTAAAAGAAGTTTTGGTTATTCTGGTAATTTTCTTTTTTTGGAGGGGGGTGTGCGGGGTGTCAACTATCCTGCTTCCTTTTCCAGATTTGGGTTATTAGTTTGGCATAGATTTTCAGAAGTCAGATTACTGGGCTTAGCATTTTTAAAGTGAAGATGACTGAGGCTTAATGACTACATACTACCAAATGCTTTCATATGAAAATGCTGGGTTTACATGATTATTACTATTGGGTATTACAATTTTTATATTAAAGTTCAGTGGGTGAGAAATTATGCCTTATTTTGACTTGCATTTTTTTTTTATTAGTGAAGGTGAACATCTTTCCATGTATTTGTGTATTATTTGTGTTTCCTACTTTATAGATTTATCTATTTTGATTATTTACATAAACTCCTTGGGCAATAATATGTCTTTTGCATATTCATTGCAAGTATTTTTCCCATTGTTTACTGTCACTTTTATGTGATTTTGTTTTCAGAGGGATTTTTTTTTAAGTGGCAGGAATGTAGAAGGAAGGTGGACTGAGAATAAACCAGGGATATGTCATGAAAATTCTTATGTATTGTACTTCATGGAATATGGATTTAATCTTGAGGAAACTGAGGAGCTACTGGAGAGTTTGGTTTTAAGAATCAAGTGATATGATCTGTTTTTTAGAAAGATTACTCCAAAAGCAAGAGAGAGGATTAGAACTGGAGACCTACAGACCAACAGGCTCTTATGGGTGGTAACCTTTAAGAGTAATCTGAAAAATATTGAGAGCCTAAACAGTGAAAGTGTGGATGAAGAAGGAAGGATGGGATGAGAGAGATTTGGTAGAGTAGAATTAAACTCTTAGGAGGATGGGTCAGCAACAAAGAAGGAGGAAAAATCTTGGCTGTATCCCAGGTTACTGCTTTGTGCAGCAGGGTGGGTGGGTGGTGGTCTCCTTCCCTAAAATAGGATTACAGTGAAATAGTGTTTGGGTTTACATAAGGGGGGGATGATGCTGGGTTCAGTTTGGGACATCTGAAATGCCCATAGGATCAGTAGGGAATTATATATACTGATTTATATTTATTAATCAGATAAAGCTTTAGAAATTTTCCTCTTCTGGGGCACTGGGTGGCTTAGTCAGTTTAAGCCTCTGACTTTGGTTCAGGTCATACTCTCATAGTTCGTGAGTTCGAGCTCCACATCGTGACAGCTCAGAGCCTGGAGTTCTGTGTCTCTCTCTCTCTCTCTCTCTCTCTCTCTCTCTCTCTCTCTCCCCTACCCGCCCCCCCACCCCCATCTCCCAAAAAGAAACATTAAAAAAAAATTTAAAGAGGTTTTCCTTTTTTACCAAATCTTTGTTTGTTTTAGGAGACTGTGGCTCAGGGAGTAAAGGAGGGCCAGTTAAGCAAACAGAAGTGCTCCTGTGCATTTAAAAACCTTCTTCCTTTTTATAGTCCTGTGGTGAGTATGAATAAGCATATAGGTGGCTGAGTTTTAGAGGATTACTAAATGTTTCTATGTAAGTGCTTGATCTCTGAGACCATTGTCAAAAAAGATCGTGCCTGCAATTCACATGACTTAGTGCCCTTGTCAGATAAATGACTGCTGGGTAATTCACGAGACTAGCCTGAATAGCTATTCTAATTTTAAGAGAATGGAGTCAGCACTGAATTTATTGGACCCCTCACTGTTATGAAGTAAGCATATATATTAAAGATAAGATTCTTAGGTGAGAATGGTCAGTAGGTTTTTATCATTCTTCAAATTATATCACATTTGCTACCATTAGAGACAATTTCAAAATAGTAACTTTTTTAGGAAAATGAAGTATGGAATGTGGGAGGGAGAGGCCATGTCAGCAAGGAAGAGGATAAAACTCCAGTAGTGGACCCTAAAGGGGAAGCATTGGGGGTATAAATACTAATTTCAAGAATAAAACAAAGTGGTATGAGCTAGTCCCTTCTTTGATGTTTCAGAGAACTGAGAATGACTGTAATAGTCTTTATTGTCATCTGGGGATTTGTCAACATTTGTTTTCCTTTGGACTGTTTAGAAATCACGGGTAGAACATTTTTATAGTCACCAATCAGTATCGTAAACCACCTTTTCTTCTACTTCATTTATTTGGTTCTTTTGTTTGACTCACAGATAGAAGACTTTCTCAAAATTCTACATGAAGTTGATAAAACTCTTGCTGATGACCTGGAGGAAAGCTTCCCAAGTTTGAAAGTTCAGACTTAATAACTGAATTAAGTTTCCTTTGCCCAATAAATGAACTTTATTTTCTTCACTGACAGTTGATATTGACATATAGGAGATGTTAGGTAAAGCCTTTTGGACCCTTATTGTCTGGTGCCACACTCCTGCTCTTCTCCCTGCCCCAGTCTTATCTCACTTTCATTTGGCATTGGAATCAGGAGTTTCCTCTGCCATCAAATCCCCACCTCCCTTTTATGTATGGTTTTGTGTTTATTTGCCCTCTTCAGGTAAAGAAAACAAAAATACAAGCTTATCACTGAGGTTCTTTTTAGATTGAGGAGTTGGTGAAGATTTTCTTCATACCTCTTAATTTGATTTTTATGTGAGAAATTTGTATTTGTATCCACTAAAGTACATTCAGCTGCACTATAGAAAACCCTATTTATAGGGGTTTCTATAAATAAGAAATTCTATCTATTTCTGTAAATAAGATTAACAACTTAATTTGATAGCTTTTATGTTTCTAATGCAATAAGAAATCCCGAGGTGGGCAGTCTAGACCTGATTTATTTGACTCAGGGATCCTGATTCTTTTTCCTCTCCACGTGGTCTGCTGTGTAGGCCTTTGTGTTTGTATTTATTGTCTTGTGGTTAAGGGGGTTATAAGACTAAAGAACAGCCCTCCATGGCCAGAACTGTGTTGCAAGGCCCTTCCTAACTGCATGTATTTGAAATCAAGTACATACTTTTTTTTTCTAAGATCTGTACGAGAGAGAAAGGCAAGAAGAGAAGGGAGATGTGAAAGGCTTTTTGATAGTCTGTGGTGTTTGCTACAGTATGAAAACACCTCTTAGCCATTCTGTGACTCTTAATTGTGTCATTTACATGCCAGATTGTCAGTAACAATTCAAAGGCAGTTTTTAGTTTAGCTTTGTTACAGTTCAGTTTTTCTTCAAAGTTGTAAGTATGAGGATAAAAATGTAACATTTTGATGAAAGTACATCAGCAAAATTCTCTATTTTCAGCATAATTCCAGTGGTTGAATTTCAGAAAATGATTTGCTTGAGTGAATTCACATTTTTAAAATTAAGATAGAGGGAGCTTAAGAACTTCTGATTGAATACAGACTGCTATACATGATTTCCCTCACACACTTTTATCATTCTTTATAGTGCTCCTGAATTAAATATATTCAGAGAATCAGCCAGGTACACTTAGGGAAGCATTCAGTTTGCATTATTTTAGTTACTGAAAATAGAATTTTTAATAAGTTTTCAGAAAATATCAGGAATAATAAAGCCAGCTTTTTACCAATCTTCAGGGTTTTTTCTGGGTTATTTACGCTAATGTGACTATTAATCTAGTGTTATTTGTGGGATGAAGTGAGGTTAGGATCCTCTTACTCTGCCATCTTCCCAGCCTCCTCTGCAAAGCCAGCTCTTTAAACCTCTCTTCTTCTGGTATAGCCCCTTCCCAATTTACTGCATAATCTTCTTGGCTCTAAAGCATTGGCCTTGTCTCACATTTTGTATTTTTTCCTTAAGTGACTTTTACTGATAAAACACAGGATGTAGTGTTATTGAGAAGAGTTACACCCTTTCCAGTTTGGTGCTCGTTTTATTATTGAAAGTGTCCCTGTTGGAAAGAATTGAACTATAAAATTAAAATCTTACTATTGAAACTGTAACTGGTAGGTTTACTCTGTATGTTCTCATGTCTTCCATGCTGACCTTCTGCTAGGCTGAACGTTACTATATTTAACATGAGATCTCAAAGGCACTGATGAAATCACTCCTGCCTGTGTAAGCAAACTAACGTGAATTTGCTCCTTGGTAAATTACGGGTAGAGACTACACCAGGTGGAGCTGTCTCACAAAGTAATCTTTATTTGCAGCAGATAAAGAGATCACAGAATAATTTCCAAAGCTGTGATCCCCAAGAAGGGGTGAGTGGGTTCTTTTTATATAAGGTTTAGGATGAATATTCATAAGGGGACCTTTATCATCGCAAATAGAGGTGGGTATAAGGTCACACGTGTGTACTTAGAAAATATGCCTATATGTGCATTGTGTGTTATGTTATGAAGCTTGGGACCCTTTTTGAGCAAAGATCTTAATGTTATAATGAGGCAGAGGTAACAGCTTATGACCCATCTGCACAGGTGTTGGCTTGGTAGTTGAGCCCAAACTGGTCAAGGCTAGCTGGAACTCATTTCTTTTCCTTTTGTTAGTTTCTAAAAGGTAAAATGAACAGTTCTTGAAGGGTGAGCTCAACGGATCTGGCAGTGACATCTGCTAGCAGTGCTAGGAATTCCAGGTTATTTCTTAAAGTTTAAGGCTAAAGATACAAATAACCCCACAAGAATAATAGTTCCAAGTTATTAGTCATGTTTTACTCCAGTGCATATGAATTTCACATTTGTTTTAGAAAGAGCACATTTTAAAAGGGGAACACAAGGCCCCTGGGTATCTGAGGGAAAGAGTGCCACGCAGAGTGGGTAAGAGAGTGTTTCACACCAAGGGAGAAACAGGATATACCTGGGAAGGCTAGGGGTGTCCAGGTTATTTTCTGTTTCCCATTTCTGCCTTGGACCTGCCCTATTACTTGTTACTAGTTGCTACTGTAACATTATGAGGTAGTATATATTCATATTTTGATGTATTTGAAAACTTCTAAATCTATAAGTTATAGTAGCTTTTTAAAGAAACAAAGCATAAACAATGTTAAAACTTTTTTAATGCTGTGCAGTCTGACGAATTCACCTCCAACATTTAGCACTTGCATTAATTACAGTGATGTTTTGAAATGGTGCTTCCTCTAGGAGCCTAACTGAAATTTGGAATTATATGTATAAATCAGATTGAAACTTTTCCCTATACTTTATTGCAGAGGAGGGGAGAAAGTACAAAATGAACTTGAGTTAGCATGTTAGATGTATTATTCTATTTCTAATTAAATTTGAGTTTGATTTTTGAAGTACTAAACCACTTAAAGACAGAACACATATCTTCCCCTTCTAACTCTCCCCCCTTTTAAAGATATTTTATCTTCTACAGTTAATGGAGTGTAGCTAAATTGTTTTCTCAGCTGATCCAACTTTCTAGATCAAAGACTTTTTCCACTCTGTCTTTAACATTTCTCATTGCTTTGGCATTGAATTAGTTACCCTGAATAACTGGAAGTAAGTGTAAAAAAGTTTAAAAGGCACCTGTAAGCATATATACATTTGGTTATGAGGCACGTGCAGAAACAAACATATTAAGACATTAGAAAACAACCTCTGTTTGGGATTCAGAAAATCTTAAATGCATTAAATGTTGAACACATTTTCTATTCTTTAGGACTGAGCTGTAGTGGTACTGTGTCTGAGTTATTTGAATAAATTGAAGAAAAGGAATATTGAGGTTATAGATTAATTTGCCCATTTTAATTAGTATTTAAAATCAGTAGCTTTTTTTTTTTAAGACATAGGTCCATATTAATTTAGGAGTGAACTGTGTATTGTACTTGAGCTTATATTCTTTTGCCACCTTACAACTCCATTCTTTCTGCTCGTGATAGAAGTTTTAAGAAAGAAATAGGTAACGACACATCATGTGTTAGACCAGACTAATAGTTTTCTTTTTATTGCTGGTATGAGATTTAATTTAAGAACTGTTATTAAAAGTCATATATATAGTGAAATGATATGATGTCTTGGATCTGCTTCAAAATAGTCTGGGGCTAGGGGAATGAAATGGGTTATAAGAGTAGATGAAACAAGATTGACCATGATTTGGAATTGCTGAAGCTGGATGATGATTATACTATTCTATTTCTGTATATAGTTGAGGATTTTCTATTAATTTTTTAAGTATTAACTTAAAAACTAAAACAGTCATTTTACCAGGAAGAAAGGGTTTATTTGGGAATAGCAGAGACTTGAAGTTTTCACATGCAAGCTATAGTGAAGTCATAGGCAAGTCCAACAAACAGAGGAGAGGAAGAGAAGGCTGTTTTATGGAAGAGGAGGAAGTTGGGAGGGGTTTTGAATGAAAGTCCACTGGAGAAAAGTAAAATTCAGGTGATGATAGTTTCTCATTGGCTGACTTGTAGTTGATTTCTTGTAGAAGATTCTATGTGCATTTTTTCCTGTTGGGACCTGTAATTGAGCGTTCTTTCCTGTTGATTCTTCTATTGGGGTCTGTAATTGACGCACAATGGTGGGGCTCCTCCTCCTAGCCTCCTATTCCACTTTAGTGAGGTTTCCCTTTATTAATTTTCACAAAAGCAACTCAATCATACACACAGTTTTAGGCCTGAATTTAATTATGAATGGTGCTTGCTCCTTTTTGTCTAAATAATACTCGAAATATTGTATTAGCGTTAAATACTTTTGAATTCAACACAGTTGAAACCAACACAAATACTTGCTTACATTATCATCATTATGTAACCAATTATGTAAAAATTATTATCTTCATTGTTTTAGCTGATTCAGCAAGGCAACTTTTGTCATGCAGTTAGTGACTACTAACCAGATAGGAACTGATGTCATATATGTTTTACCACCATAGTGGGGTGTGTTTACCAACAAGTTCTTATTGGTGATCTTCAGTGGTGTATTTTGTAGGTAGAGGTGACTACAGGAGAGAGACAGACTCAGAATTTTAGAGATGGAGAGATTGTTAGAGATTAGTATCCAGTGCTAATTCATTGGGCTAGTCAAGCCTACAATAGTCTGGACCAATAAAGTGCCAGGCCAGATCTACAGCAGCAACCAAAGGAAACTAGGTAAGACTGGAAGTAGGAGGACACCTTGTGGTGGATGCTTCTAGCTTTTCACTCACCTTATGGTATTTGCTCATCAGCTTGACTATTCTGTATCTCTGTATAGAATGCAGAGTTTCCATTGCTAAAATATTATGATGTACCTTAAGTTAATATACATAAAGTCAGATTTGCTTAAATCCAGTTTTGTGAAACTTAGGGACCATTTGTAATATAAAGGCTAAAGAGCCTCCATAGGTTGCTAGTTAGTTTTCAAAGCCAGAGAGTTTGGA